TTTGACACCGTGGCTGGCACAGTGGGACCACCCACGCGGGCAGTTGTGACGACCGCGCAGTGCTTCATTCGGGTGCACGGGTCGCTGTGAGCCGGAACCCACTCATGGGCAACCGCAACATCTACTTTTGAAAGGTCACAAGGCCTTGTAAACGTCATGGCGTGTATGTGTGTATGTGTGTGTGTGTGTGGGTGGGTGGGGGGCGGCTGCAGTTCTACTTGGCAACACATGGGTCACCAGGGACTTAATGGACGTGATGGCAACAGGCGTTTGTTTTTGTGTCTGGTGCCTGTGCCCGGAGGAGTGCTGGCTGGGGCGGGCAGGGAGACCAGTCAGCAGGAGGCTCTTGTGGTGGGTCACCCGGGTGTGGGTGGGCATGAGGACCTCACCGGCGGCGGTGGACAAAGGCGGTGGACAAAGGCGAGACTGACTCTGCTCCTGGGACTGTCCCCTGTCCCCTTTTCTGCGCCTTTTGCTTGCCAAGTGTAGCAGCCACGGGAAAACAGACGGAGGGCACGTGTATGGCCCGGCCGCCCCGGGGATGTGGCCCTGTCTTCTCTACCCACCCCACCCCTCAGCCTTCATGGGTGAAACCATTTTTCTTAGTTTTTAAAAAAACAGTGTTTGGGACGTGCTGTCAGGAGCGAGCAGCCCTGGAGAAGGACGTCATGCTGGATCAAGTCGAGGGGCAGCAAAAAGGATGGCCCTCAGCCGCATGGATGGCACAGTGGCTGCCACAGTGGGCTCAGGCACAGGGACCGTGGTGAAGATGGCGCAGGACCGGGCAGTGTGCGGTTCTGCTGTGCATAAGGTCGTCCGGGGCGGAACCGACAGGATGCCGCCTACCAATAGCCGTGTCCAGCAGAATCTGTCCTTAGGAGTTCAACGACCTTTAGGACAGAATCGCTTCTGATTTCTTCCCCGTGTGGGCTGTCTGGCAGTCGTTTCCCTGCGTTAGTCTTCGTTTAGGTCTTACTGGCATCTCAAATTCACCTACCACACAGTTCAAGTCACCGCAGGACACCACCCCGGTTCCAGCGATGCGCGCTGTCCCCTGCCTTCGCGTGTTGAACAGCCCGTCGGTTTTGTTGCGTTGCTAAGAATTGGCGCTGTCCCTTTGTGTGCGCGTGACTGTGTGTGCGCGCGCACCAGCGTTTATTGTCCGTTCCTCGACAGGTGGGCTCTTCGGTGGTCTCCATCTTTTTTTAAAAAATCATTTTATTAGGGGCTCATACAACTCTTATCACCATCCGTACACACATCAAGTGTGTAAAGCGCATTTGTACATTCATTGCCCTCATCATTCTCAAAACATTTCCTCTCCACGTAAACCCCCGACATTAAGTCCTCATTTGTCCCCTCCCTCCCCTCCCCCTCCCTCATGAGCCCTTGATAGTTTATAAATTGGTATTTTGTCATATCTTGCCCTGTCCGACGTCTCCCTTCACCCACTTTTCGGTTGTCCGTCCCCCAGGGAGGAGGTCACATGTAGTTCCTTGTCATCGGTTGGTCTCCATCTTTTTGCACCTGTGGACAGCGCTGCAATGAACAGGGGTCAGGCTCGAGGCTTTCCCAGACGGGGAGGAAGACGGTGCCACCAGGCTGCCTGGGGTGGCTGCGAGGGGCGTGTGAGCCGGGGTGGGACGCGGAGCAGGGTCTCGTCAGAGGTGCGCATGCAGTGTCCACACTCAGGCAGAGCTGGGGCAGCACAGGCAGGTGTGAGCTGTCCCCATTGCCAAGGGGGGCGCATGCGCGTGGGAGAGGGGGTGCAGAGGGCAGGGTCCAGGGGCGGGCAGGGGAAGCTGTCCGTGAATCAGCAGAAAGAGGAGGGCGCGGTGGAACTGGCTGCTTCAGCTCAGGGCCCAGCGTCCTTGTCCCTCTGTGCCCGCCATCGAGGGCAGGCGGGGATCGTTTGTGGAAAGCTCTGCCACCATGGATTATCGAGAAAACAAAAAGTACCCCGCTGCCCACCAGGGCGCCTCGTCTGCCCAGCTGCTGGTGAGATGCTTCTGCTAGCTGACCGGGCCCAGTGGTAGGCAGACGCGAGCCCTGGCTTCCCCCAGCGTTTCCCCTGGAGCCTCTTTAATGAGCTGGCTCCGCCTGCCCCCCCAGACGTACTGCCGTGCTGCTATTGAATGAAGCATGTGTGCAGCGCTGCGGGGTCTCCGAGGGCAGCTCCGGCCTCGCAGACAGTGGTGCGAGCCCCGCAGCAGGAGGAGGGTCATTTGTGTCTGGGTGTGTGTGTTTGGGGGTGGGGGGCACTGTGTGCACGGAGGTAGAAAGGAGCCCCTGGCTGTGTGGATGGTTAACATCCTCTGAAAGGTTGGTCTCTGAGTCCACTCTGAGGTACTGCGGAAGGAAGGCCTGGCGACTGGTTTAGGAAACGCAGCCAGGAAAGCCCCGGGCTTACCAGAGGCCCCGGAGGTGCAAGGGGAAGGGAGCGGAAAGGAAGGGGCTTTCTGGAGACCGCTGCCAACCCCCCCCCTGTGCACGTGCATATGAACAGCTCAGTACACGAGTGCTAGGGTATCGGCGGGTGTGCCCATAGCCCTGAGGCGGGTGTGGCGTTTGCACTCAGCTGTGTGTGCACCCTGTGTGTGTCACTGGGTGGCAGAGGGCTAGTGCTGGCTTTGCAGAATCTCTCGGAGCCCTCCCCCTCCCCACCACTCCCAGGCCCCTCCCCCAGAGAATGTGCAGACAGTGTGCAGGAGACTGAGTGCACGTGTGTGTCTGAG